AGGTTGAGGGTGGGCAGGGGGTCATAGCCCTAAAATTTCAGCCTCCTAGACTACGAGGTTCCCGAGTCGTTAACTTACCCATGAGGTCATTACCCTAAAACTTAAGTCTTCTAGACTCCGTGGTTCCCGAGATATTAACTTACCCGTGAATAACCTTCGGGGCCGTACGTGTTACCCGCGGGTAAGGGAAGGCTGAATTTGAATGGGCAAGGTTGAGGGTGGACGAGGGTCATTGCCCTAAAACTTCAGCCTCCTAGACTCCGAGGTTCCCGAGATATTATACTTACACGTAATTTCAGGGGGCCGTACGCGTTACCCGTGGGTACGGGGATGAATTTAAATTTGCGGGGTCACACGTGGGTGGGGGACGTTCCCCTAAATTTTCAGCTTCCTAGCTCTTAATTTAAATTTGCGGAGTCACACGTGGGTGGGGAACGTTACCCTAAATTTTCAGCTTCCTAGCTTTGTGAAATTTGCGGGGTCACACGTGCAGGGCCGTACGCGTTACCCGCGGGTACGGGGAAGCTGAATTTAAATTTGCGGGGTCACACGTGGTGTGGGGAACGTTACCCTAAATTTTCAGCTTCCTAGCTTTTGTGGTTCCCGAGTTGAAAGTTGCGGACAAGTTGCTGCGGACACACACACACACACACACACACACAGACAACCCCGTAACAATATGCGTTTTGTACTGCTGTTACACAGCACAAAATGCATAAAAAACAAAGTATCATTCGTGCTATTTTCATACTTTTCAATACCAGCAGTCCTTATATATACATTCAGACACAAATTTCTCCTCTTGCAATCACAGCTTTTTCACACAATCGCATTCCGAAACAGATATTTCCAAATCCATGCACGCATCAGTATGGAGAGCAAAACTTTGTTGCTTTTGCAATTTTGTTAAATCTCATTTTTGACTGCTCCCTCAACATTTTTGGGTAAATAAAGTAGGAAGAGCAGAAAAAACACTGATAACCTACTTTGAACAATCTTTAGAATCGATTCTACAGGCAAATTTCTAGGCTAACGAAATCAAAAAAAAAAGCCAGAAAGACATGCCCGGAGAAATAATTGTACCGCATTCAGAGATACTTTTTTTATAAAAAAAACGAGATATTCGATCTCTACTCAAATTATGCCGTTTTTTAACAGCACAGATGCAGAATTTCATGGAGCAAACACAAAATTTTAAACTGTGAAAAATCTTGAAATAAAATTTTTTTTTTATAAAATACAAAAAAAAAGAATCTGATTCTTACTTAAGTTATACCAAATTTTAACAAGAGATTTAAGGAAAGATGCAGAATTTCACGGAGCGAAAAGCAAACAAAAAATTTTAAACTTTAGAAAATCGTTGAAATTACAGATTACTTTTGTTACTGGATCATTCATGTAGGCTTCCATTTCTTCGCTGGTAACTTCTTTTGCCAGATGCTTCGATAGGTCCCGCGATTCCAGTGATTCTTCCGGTTTCAAAGGCTGTTCATTCATAACAATCCGATAATGAAACAAACACACGTACCAATGGCCTCTCTGAATTGGATTTTTGCTTTAGCCCAAAAACAACGACCACAGCAAAAGATGACAACCCCCGAAAGCAAGAAATACTCAGTGAATGTATGCTTGGCACAAGCACAGAGAATAATTATACTTTCGCCTATTACGGCAAATTACACAAATAATTGGCCAGCGCACCGACTGCCGATGCGAAGATGCGTTTTTTGCATAGTTCCCCGCAGGTTTTTGTCGCTAACGGCACTGTTTTTTCCGGCCGATACTTCTAGCTAAAAGAATTGAGACTGGCCACCACGGCTGTGAAAAAATATTTCCTCAAAATTTGAGCTTTCTAGCTTTTCTGGTTTCTAGATTAGTAACTTAGCCGTTAAAAATTTTCATTGGCCGCACGTGGGAACCACGCATACCTGGATACTGGGGTTGAACTCATTAAGTCTTAGGTGAGCGAAAACATCTCAGAATTAAAGTTTTCTAGCTTTATCCCAGTTAGCATCTTATCCATCAAAAATTTTCACGCATCCACACGTGGCGAAGAAGAGTGCCTATTGTGAGGAGAGGGGCCCGTACACGCACTTAGATAAAATTTCCAAAGTTTCAGCCTTGCAGCTTTTGTAGATTTCGAGATG